CCCCCCCCCCCCCCCGGCACGTGGTGGTGGTGCAGGAAACTCGCACGCAGCGGCCACCTATATACTCAGTGCTGCCGCCACGTATATGGCTGGACTGACACTGATGGCTGGCCACATGCAAAGCCAGTGGCACGGAGAAGCGGGGATACTTGGGTGCAGGAAAGCAGCACTTGGCAGTGGCAGGGTGATGGATGGCAGCAGTGGCCCCACCCCACTTGCCTGCGCTCAAATACCCCCACTTCTCTATGCCACCAGCTTCGCATGCAAACTGTGGCACGTGGCGGTGGCAATGAATGCATAGATGGCAGCAGAAGTGGCTGCTGCATACAAGCTCCCCATGCCACTGCCGTGCACTGGGGAAGGCTGTTGGCTGGCCGGAAGCGAAGCCAGTGGCGCAGAGAAGCGGGGATACTTGAGTACGGGAAAGCAGCGTGCAATGCCCAGCAGCAGTGGCATCGAGTGATGGATGGAGGCAGCAGCCCCGCCCCCTGCTTCCAGGTACCCCCCACTTCGCACCACTGGCTTCACGTCCAGCTGGCCACCAGCAACACGCCTCTCCCCCCCAGCCAGCTGGACGTGAAGCTGGTGGCACGGAGAAGTGGGGATACTTGGGCGTGGGGAAAATGTCATGCAGTGGCAACGCAGTGATGGGTGGCAGTGGCAGCCCTGCCCTCTGCACTGCCACTTCCCAAGTACCCTCACTTCTCCACATCACCGCCACATACCCCCTTGGGCCTTCCCAACTACCCCCGGGGTATGCACAGCCGCAGGGGACAACCCCTGTGTTAGTACATTTTGAAGTACTGAAACTTTTTTTTTTGGTGCTTTCCAGCAGCCTCCAGCATTACATGCAACCAAATTAGTTATTGGATAGGTATTGGCCAATATGACTGTTAATAAGTCAGTATCAGCCAAGAAAATCTTTAGCGGTGCATCCCTAAACAATTTTTCCAGTCCTGGAAGAAATGCTAGAGCAAACCAATACAGCAGTGTTCTCAAGCTTGAAGCCAGCCTGGAGAAGAAACAAAATGCCTATTTTGACTGTTTCTCAGTTCAGTCGGGAAACTGTGGAAGAAAAGATAGCGTGAGTAGGTATAATCAACGCAGACAAAAAATGTGAAGTGGGAGGGAAGCATAAACCCCTACAAATGACAAATGAAAAAAAGTGCTCCTGTATGAATCATAAGATTCTTTTTCAGATTTAAATAAGAACTGTTTTTTCTATTCATCAGTAACAGCTTCAGGTAAACTTCACTCATACAACCAGAGACGGAAACTCCCTCCTCATCAACACCCTTTATGGGGTTACACATTTAGAACTAGCCGTCTGTCTTCCGCCTTGCAGTGTCCCCTTGATGGGTCACTGCAACAGAAACTGGTCCACATTTTGTTGTAAGGTAGTGTCCAGACTTAAATGAGATACGTGCCTGGACCAGGAAATTGAAGAATTAGAGGGCATTGTTACAACCAGCCTCAGAGAGATATATACTTGATTCTCCAAATAGCCTGAAATAATAGGTCTAAGAGGAAGAAACTATCCAACATATAGATAAAAAAATTAAGAATGCAAAGAACTATCCCCTTAAGGGGAGGAATTGCTAAGAATCAAAAAGATTCTCTGTATAGCAAAAGATCAGAAAATCTAAACCACTCATTTCAGACATCTCCAATACTTGAATAGACTGAGAGGACCTATTTTCTACCATTCCTGCCTTTTTGGGAACAGAAGAGAAACCTTAATGCCACTCAAAAACCAAGAGGAGTTTAACTGCCCCTACCTCTCAGAGGGCAAAGGCATATAATGTTATACCTAATGAGCAGCAGGTCTGCAGACTCTTCCTCATGTTACTGAATGTCTAGATTGCTGGTAACAGTCAAAACATTTTGGAAAAGGAAGTGTCATACCCACTTTACATACTGGAAAACAACCTACGCTAAGCAAATATTTTCTGAAGTGGTCCCTAATTCTGGATACCTCCATTTCCAAACTTGAGAAAGCCTGCAGCTGGATAACTCGCTCAAAGCCACGATAAGTAGTTAAGATCAGAATTCAGACCTCCTCATCCCCCAAACAATCAAAAAGAATGCAGCTAATTAGGCACATGATGTGGCACATAAGAACTCTCATAAAAACTGGAATGCGTTGTGCCTGGGCCCAAACTAGCAGATAACAGCAACATTTTGGAGAATTATGAGTTTAAGCTTGTTTACTTTCTCCCCTGATTTAGACTAAAATCTTCAAGAGACTTAGGATGTGCTGACTGTTTCCTAACCAGCTCTCCTGACTGTCCTAGCTCTGGATCCATCACGAATGTCTAGATAACCAAGGAGTACATACAAAACTCTGCCAAGTGTCCATCACAATTTCAGAAAGACTACACAGTTAAGTCTGCTTCATGTCTTCCACAATAAAACTGTTTTCAGTTCCTTAGGACACTGCCAAACTAAATATTTTACACCGAAGTTTTACATGCCAGGTGTCTGGCTCAGGATAACAATTTTTTTGTCAAAAAAACCCAACAAAAACCACAGCACTGTCATTTCCAATACGTCAGCCAAAATAAGTTTTGCTCCTTACAACTATGTAATGTCAAACTCAAGCAACTATACACTTTAGACTAGAGCGAGGCAATCCAGCATGTGCAGGGGCCTCATCATCCAGCCCAGGGCTCTCCAAAGGTCCAGAAATATGGCAGCAGGAGAGCTGTGGCTGCAACAATTCCCCACTCCCCTGCTGTCGAGGTTGTATCCTACCACTGCTCCCCCACTGCCACTCTACGATGAGAGACTGAGAGCTACAGGACTCTTCATCCTGGAAAAGCGCAGGCTCAGGGGGGACCTGGTGGCTGCCTACAAGTATATAAGGGGTGTACATCAGGAACTGGGGGAATGAATGCCTTCTCACCAGAGTGCCCCATGGGATGACAAGGTCAAATGGTCACAAACTTCTCCAATACCATTTCAGGCTAGACATAAGGAAGAACTTCTTTATAGTCCAAGCCCCCAAGACCTGGAACAGGCTGCTGCCAGAGGTGTACAAGCACCTACTCTGGATTCCTTTAAGAGTCAACTGGATGTTTATCTTGCTGGGATCCTTTGACCCCAACTGACTTCCTGCCCCTGGGGCAGGGGGCTGGACTTGATGATCTTCTGAGGTCCCTTCCAGCCCTAATGTCTATGAAATCTATGAAGTTTCCAGACCCAGGGAGGAGCTCCCAAGAATCAGATGGCAGCTCTGCAGGCAAGATCTTGCCCACATGCTGGAGCACCACTAGATTAGAGGGCTTCAAATCTGCAATGGGAGACTGCCTTCTATCGGAGCCATTCCAGTGAAAAAGCCACACATTTGACCAAGATTTCGGCTCCTGAAAAAGCATCGTGCCTGGTGTTAAGAGTTTGGCAACTAAAAATCTCTAAAGAGATTGTATGGAACAAACTGGTCCTATAGGAGCATGTCCAGTGCAACTGACATCATTACTGGGCTACAAAGCTAAGCAGGACATCCTGATAACCAATTCACATTGCTACTAGTACCACTGTAAAGTCATGTACAGAAACTGGGAACAGACACATTCTGGTACACTCAGATTTTTCACCTGCCGGTACCCAGGCAACATGGAGGAAGATGAGAAAACAACTAGATATGTATAATGAAATGAGAGAAGTAAGAAGGATGTTATAGGGTAAAATGTTTAAACAAGAGCTCACTTACTGAGAATGTGGATTTCCACTTTCAATGTTTAATAAATAGCTACAAAACCCGTTGAA